TGGAACCCCTCAGGGAATATCCGAATGCTGGTTTAGGCCTGATCCCACAGGCAACCCTCTCACAGTCCAGGACTGCTGGCTCCTAACCACTTGCTTGCCTGTCTGATCACCCCTAACTGCCCTCCCCTGCTGGACACATTGCCCCTAACCACCTCTGCCTCGGCCCATGGCTCTTTCCGGAGGATGTTTGGAAGATGTCTTGTCTAATTAGCATATTACCCTTTATTAATATAGATCATAAATGTAAGACATATTATTTATTGAAAGAAGCTGAATTCCCACCTGTCATCAGTGGTTGAATAGTTTGGTATGACATAGTCATGATTACCAAACTTGTATTAATACAAAAGAGTAAGTATTCATAAGATGTAAAGAAAAATTTCAAATTAAAATAAATATTTTGAAATTATAGGCATAGTATGGAGAAAAGGAAAACAGCTTTCATAGTCTGATGGACATAAATTTGATTCCCAATTTTGTTTCTTACACAGGTGCTCTAATCAGCCAAAGTAATATGTTGAATCTTTCTAAATTTTACTTTTCTGTCTTTGAAAAATGTATTTTATCATATCATTTTTATATAATTTTGATAACAATTGAAATTATTATGTATTGCAAAGAGTAGAAAATAAGTCAGTAAATTATAGCTCTTTTATAATTATCAATAATGAATGTGAATTCCACAGAAAACATGTTTTATTATTACTTAGACTCTACCTGGACTAGGTCTCCAATAAATAATATACAGTAATATAAAAGCTCTGGTCCGTGTTTAAAGTCATGTTTTGACATGCTGTATGAGCTCTCTTTATATGAATTTTTGATAATATGCTTTCAAAATTATTGGCAGATCTACTCTTTGTCTGTATTTCAAGCTGGGTAATGGAAAATGATTTACACAGTTTTATTGAATTTACAAGGACTAGAGTAAGCCATGCTAATTATTGCTATGTCATTCTTGCAGGCTAGCAGGAACTGAGACAAAACATAAGACAAAGTAAATACAATTAGCATTAAAATGACTCAAGCATGAAATATAACCAAATGGGTCCTGAAGTCTCTTAGTTTTTGTCCATAAAAAAGTATCATGCTTGTTTGCGAGCATTCACTTTAATTGCTTCCCCCTTTTTCTGAAATATGGGAGGTGTTTTAGATCTCTATAGTATTTCTCAAATAACATTTTTGTTATTGACATTACAACCTACACTGTCATAAATAATTAATCTGACTTTTATAATACAACCAGGTGATGCTAATTATAAAGTATTACAAGATAAATACCAGGAGTCCATCTCACTAAAAAGTAATATTTTTTTTTCTTTCCAAATGAATATTATTAAATGTCTATGAGATTTCTTATCAGTTCCTTCTCTTTAGAGTATAAAGTCTTTCTTCTAAGCTCAGTAAATTTTGGTTGAATTTAAAGGACATATTTATTCCCAAAGAGATATTTTTACATGGGGATTCTATCCAATTCCTGTTCATTAGACCTTGGATGAGCAGTAGCAAATATCTACCTCTGAACCATTATTGTAAGAAGAGAGTCTACAAAATTAGAGGGTAGGTAGAAAAAAAAATATATATATAGGCAAAGAGAGAAGGAACAAAGTTTTATAAGTAGAACTATAGGGAACATGGCAGAGATGTAAAGAACTTGTAGTAGAATAAGATTAAGCAATTAAGATTTTGTTTTGATGGATAAGGCATCTGCTCCTGTGGTAGGAGCTGGGAGGTGCCAGTGGAGCAAAGCTAGTCCTGGATATCTGCTAGAATTCAGTTCTTCCCATTCTTTGCAATGAGATGACTCCCTCAGTTAATTTCTCTAAGTGAAAAAAGAAATCAGACAGAATCAGAGAGATTCCTGGAATCACAGGCTGATTACAGAAAGTGAGGGCCTCCTTCTGATTTGACCAAGGCTACTGTTTGCAGCAACTGCAATGCCCTTTGGCTCTATTAGCTGTACATTTTTTTCAATGCAGTTAATCTTCACCTGAGGATATTTTTCCATTGATTTTAGAGAGAGTGGAGAGGAAGGGAAGGAGGAGAGAGAGAGAGAGAGAGAGAGAGAGAGAGAGAGAGAGAGAGAGAGAGAGAGAGAGAGAGAGAGAGAGAGAGAGAGAGAGAGAGAGAGAGAGAGAGAGAGAGAGAGAGAGAGAGAGATGTGAAAGAGATTGGTTGCCTTCCACATCTTGATCAAGGTGGGGAATGAACCTGCAACCCAGGTGAATGCCCTGGACAGGGAATGGAATCCTTCACCCTTCAGTTTCCTGACTAATACTCTAACCAAAGGGAAGCACCATCCAGGGATATTAACTGTAAATTTATTGACATACATCTATTGTGTTTGATTAACCCCCAGGTGCCCCTACCATTTGCTTGCTTAACTTCATCCCTGGATACTTCTGAATTCCCCAAATGGGGCAAATGAGAGGGTGATGTCTGGCACAGCAGGATATTCTAACATATGGCATGTGTAATTTCTGTCACATAGTAATTGTGCCAAAGCAGTTATCAAATATGTTAGCTATCCCCCTTGGGGAATATATGTTAATTATGGACTTTTGAAAGAAAAGGGACTTCAACATTAAGAAGACTGAAATGGGCTCTGATAAGTAAGAATGGAACTTAAAGAGACCCAAAGCGGAAATTTTGTCTATTTTAGAGTTTGTGTGAAGTTCATTAAGACGGGTGTGACAATATCATTAAAATAAGGTCAAATTGAAGTATTTCTCTATCTCTGAACTTAGATTACATATATACTAAGAAGAAAAAAAAACACACATTTTATAATCTTTTCTACTCTTGTGGTGTCAGTCATTTACAAATGCAATATGAATCTTAAAAACAAAAAACAACCTACAAAGATTGAATTTCCAGTTAGTTTTAAAATCAGTTTTTCCCCACTCATCCCCTGTCACTTCCTGATTTACAAAGAAAAAAATCCAGAGCGATTCAAAAAAATCAAATATATGGTTCTATTTGAAGTAGATGGGTTCTTTCATGACAAGATCCCTTGGCACCTGCTGCCTCTTCTTCCTGGAATATCTATCACCTTTTATTATATCAGTGACCCTTTCAGGCTTCAAATTTCATATAGAATGACATCTTCAATGCATATTCTCTGCATATATGATGCTTCACCCAATGTAGGCATCTATAATTATATGCCAAATGACTTATTTTAGACAAATTTATTTTTATAACTTTTCTAAACTTTAAAAAGGGATGAGGAAAAACCTGTCTGCTTTTATAATATACTCGTCACATTCCATGAAAAGAATATTGCTCCTAAAATATTTTAAAAGAAGATAATTACCTAAGTGAGGAACAAGACTAATCTACCTCAGTATTCTAAACAGTGAGTTTTAAGTGACTTTGGAGTGAAAAATCCTTTTACTTTCTAGTCATTCCTTATTTATAGGTAATTGTGTTACTGTCTGGAAGATGGTGAGTGGATAAGCATGCAATTTCCATTTCTGTGACTTGAATTAATCACTTCTCAAGTAAAGTACAGATGTCCTTCTGGAGAATGCCATTAAGTTAATTATAATGCATTCCATGATTGTACAGGCCTTGTTTTTCCTTCATAATGCATAAAAGTTAATAGATGTATATGATAGTAATTTTCCTGTCATAAAGTCTCCTTTTACTATTCTCAAAATAGTTTAAATTAACACTTAAAATTTATGTAGTATACTTTTATTGAAGAGTAAAGGGGCATGTTCTAAAGTAGAGTGAGGTTAATGAGAAGTGATAAAACTAACAACCGTATTTTAAGTATTTTCTCCTTTAACAAGGTTGGTTTTTTTTATCTTGTATTTTCCTTCTATATCACAGACATATTATAAGCAAAGTACCATCATTTTATGGGAGATCAAGTATGATTTATTCTCCTAGCCACTAACATATAGCAAGGAAGTTAACCCACATGTTTAAATTTATAAAATAATAATACACAGCAAATTCTAAGTTGTAGGTACTATTTTAAGTTCCTTGTAAAATTATATGACTTGCATACTAACAAAAAAAACCTATGAACAGGTACCATTAACATACTAGTTATACCGATGAGAAAACTGAAACACAGAGATAGGAATTGATATGCCCAATATCACATAATAGTGATTGATATGGGGTTCAGAGTGCTGCCCAGCTAATGTCAAGGCTGTGTTTCTATATCAGATATGAAAGGACCCCTACCATCAGAAATGATGATTGCAAGAGAAGTTTCTGGATAGCAAGAGGAATTAAAACAGCATTTTGAAGAATAAAAATCATTGGATTGATAGAGATTATAAGTGTGTGACAGAGGCGGAAAGGGAGGCAGCTATAAAGTAAGAAGTTACAAGAACATAGAAATAAAAATACAACATATAGTACTCGAGGGATCATAAAGCAGCAGCTAGACTGAATCACATATTTTATTGAGAATTTTAAGAAGATGAATATGTTCACATTGCTTTGCTGGATATTAATTTTTGGTACATTATATAATTACATCTATTAAAATGATATTTATTAATCAACTTATTGTCTACATAAATTGATTTTTATATTGACAATTAACTATATCAATCTGTTATTATTCTTGTGATCTTGACCCCACCATTTTACTAAGATATCACAGTGTTGTCAGGAATTTGTTTGCTACACAGAGGATTTAAAAAAAATAAGTGCATAGCCATAACCAGTTTGGCTCAGTTGGTAGAGCATCAGCCTGCAGACTGAAGGATCCAGGTTCGATTGTGGTCCAGGGAATGCACCTTACTTGCAGGCACCTCCCCAGGGGGGGGTATGCAGGTTGCAGCTGATCGATGTTTCTCTCTCATTCATGCTTCAAACTCTCTCTCCCTCTCCCTTCCTGTCTGTGGAGAAACAATAAAATATATTTTTTTTAAATGTACATACTTTGAAACACTAATACAAACTTACAGGTAAGCTTTTTCTAGATAAAAATACTAAATAGAAAAACAGTAGCTGATTCATTGTTTTCTTTTCAGGTAAACCAGTGATGATAGTGACAGAGTATATGGAAAATGGCTCTTTAGATACATTTTTAAAGGTAAGATTTGAGGCAAATTTAATTATTCAGTGTTATTTATATATTGATAATGTCATTGAAGTTAAAATAGAGCCACTTTAAAGCTGAATTTTAAAATGGATAGAAATACCTGGAGTGAGAATAATTACACTCCAAAAAATTAACTTTGGTTTGAATTATTTTCTTTTCAGAAAATTTATAGAAATTCAAATTATGTGTGTCTACTGTTTTACATAATTATATGCTACTTTGCCCTAAAAAATGAAAGAAAGAGGAAAGAAAGAAGAAAAGAGATGGATGGAAGGAAGGAGGGAGGGAGAGAAGGGAAAAAAACCAGAAAGTAGAAAAAGAAGCTTGAACAAATATTTAACTTTCTCAAAGTACATATTGTCAGGCAGAGCTAGGAAAAACAGTCTCACAGCTTCATGCTCCTTATCTATAGTAAGGGTTAAACAGGCTTATAACCATCTGAGGCCGCTTGTGCCCTCAGAGTCCTCATGTGGTAATAGATGGTACTAATCCTATATTGTTCAGTCTGTGAGTCTCAAAAAAATTTTTTTAATGTGTAAGTTCTTCAAGTTTTAAATGATGTAACACATATGCAGGCCTGCTTAAATCTGTAGGCTGGCAGTTTTTCATCTTCCTCAACGATTATTGCTATGGGTTAGGAAAGGTGATGGGAAATGGCATTAATGACAATCATAAGAGGGACATGAGCATTGAATATAACATCCGCCCACTGACAAGGGGGCTGCTGTCATATTCCCTTACACTCTCCAGATTCTGTTGCCAAATTTCTTAGACATGTCTTCTAGTTCCCTAGTCTCCTAAAGTCACATCATCTCTTCTTTTGTTAAAATAATCATTAGGTGAGCCTTTTCCTGTATGTGTGTGCAGTGAATTGAGTGCCCCTGAAAAAAGACTGCAAGCTTCCAAGAAATATGAATATCTTCTGGATCATTCCTCAGCCATTCCCCTTCCACCTGCTGCTGAAAAATCTCCCTCCATCTCCTCTGGCCATTTCTTCTTTACAACAATATGCCTATCGAGCTATCTTCCTCTAAAGCACCTCAAAGATGTGCAGTGTTAACCCCAGGCAAGCACCAGGCTGCAGTAATGAACATACTCCTCTGATGACTGAGAGTAAAAGAATTGCAATGCAGAGAAGGACACTTAAATGGAATTTTCCATAAGGGCTTTCAAAACCTTGATCTGCTTTGACCAAGGAAAGAAGTGATAAATATTACCAACTAAACTATATATTTCCAACTTTTTTGTTCTCCTTCACATAGAATATGCATATGAATTTGGGGATAGTATTAATTTGGGATTGAATGAAAACCCTTTCATATCTCCCCGCCCCCCGCCCCAGTGATTGGTGTGGCTGGACTAACATTGCTACATCGTCTTTACAGAAAAATGATGGGCAATTCACTGTGATCCAGCTGGTTGGCATGCTGAGAGGCATCGCTGCTGGAATGAAGTACCTCTCTGATATGGGCTACGTGCATAGAGACCTCGCTGCGAGAAACATCTTAATCAACAGTAACCTTGTGTGCAAAGTGTCTGACTTTGGACTTTCCAGAGTCCTGGAAGATGATCCTGAGGCAGCCTACACTACAAGGGTAAGTTCTAACAGAATGCATTTCTTACTCCCTAGACTAGAGGCATTTAATATTTAAAGATTTTAAAGGAAATAGCAAAAAGGGCATTTCTTCAACATAGGAAAAGGGAGAAAGAAAAGAAAGGGGTAGGGGAATAAAAAAACCCAGATGATGCTCCTTGTTAGATATCAGAAAATTCACCTATTAAACTCAGATAAAAAAGTATTTACCTAATGAGTCTCAATACTTTACTTTTTTCATACTGAAAATAAAAATAAAAAAATAGTTTGAATTTAGATTGTATACAACAGTGTAAAATCATAAAAAATTTTAAATGTAAAAAATAGAGAATATCCTATATTAAAAGCAATAAATATGTTATCTATATGTGTACAATAAATATGAATATATACATGGATAGCATTATGTGGTGGCTTAAACTCTTCCACTATCTTCTTTTGTAAAACGAATGCAGAACGTCTAAATCTATGTCTTAAGGATTCATATGGTATAGAATAAAAGAGCTAGTCTTCAAAACATTTTATTTAAAGGTATGTCTGATTTCTTTTTTACATACTATGTTAACTGTTAAGCCCATGTCTTTGGAAAATTGGTCACTAACATTGTAATTAGCATAAATCAACAACCTTTTTCAGCAATGTAATTGGCTTCTGAATTGATATGTTATATAATCGATAAGTCTTTCCATGTAATATTGTGAGTATTGGTACAATGAACTTTTCGGGACTATCTATGTATTGCACTTCTACAATTTGAATCCCTTATGATTAACTACATTTGTTGAGTTCTAAATCTTTAAAGTGTCATCAAGTTCACGGTTTAAACTTCTTGTGAAGACAGGAATATCAAATTAAGCATCTTTTTCACTCTACAATTTGGTTTACTTCGGTTTCCATACAAGTGAACACTTTTGTCATCCCTTATTTTTATGATAGATGTGTTACACATTTTATTAAGTCACCTTTTTAAAATAATTTGTACTCATAACCTAACTATAAATCTAGTCATAGTATAAGGCTTTCTTTATACATACATATATATATATATATATATATATTTTTTTTTTTTTTTTTTTTTTTTTTTTTACAGAGAAAGGAAGAGAGATAGAAACATCGATGAGAGAGAAACATTGATCAGCTGCCTCCTGCACAGCCCCTACTGGGGAATGTCCCCACAACCAATGTGCATGCCCTTGACCGGAATCAAACCTGGGACCTTTCAGTCTGCAGGCTGATGCGCTATCCACTGAGCCAAACCAGTTTCGGCAAGGCTTTTTTTTTCCCCAATGCTGTTTTATGTATCAGATTCTTAAAGACTGTATTATACTGAAGATCATGTGTAAATTATATAAGTAAATGGAGTCTTTTAAAATGGTCAGCTTGACAAATCAATAAATTAATTGATGGGATATCACTTCCTCTTTTCTAGACTTAATTATCTTTGTCATTATTTGCATTAAATGAAACTTCATTCAAGAATCCTCTTGGAATTAGTGTTACACTTAATAAACTTGGCCTAAACAAGATTGAGGTTATAGGAAAATCCATTCCCAGTATGACTGCTTAATGACTTATTTAAATGCACAGAGTAGATTGTCAATGTGTCATGCTGGGGGAAAGGGAGGACAAGGGAAAGCAGAGATCCTGAGACTCTCAACAATTATTTCTACGAAATGAGTCATCTAGGCAGCTTGTGGGAAATGCATGTACTGAGAGATCCAGAGTTAAAGGAGCACCAGATAATATTGATGACAAATATGATGGTCAGAAGATCGAGAGAAACATTCTAAGCTAAAGTTTAAAGTAATCCACAAACTGTAATTTTAAGAAGCATAATAATAATATATTATGGAATGTTGCAAAACAAATTGCCAGAGCTAATTGTGTGACCACACCTATGGATATTTAATTACCAATGTATGTTTTCGGGAAAGTCTCCTTAAAGTGGTCTCACCATATTTCCAAGGAGCAAATAATTCAAACTTATTTTGAATAATTCAAATTAACTGAAACTCAGAAGTTTCAAGCATTACATAACATTATTATTTTCTCATATATCTTGAAACTTTAGTTGATAGCAAACAGTTTAAGTTCCATATTTCCTGACATTTGAAATACATTATTCCCTTCTTGCAAAATGGGAAGGCATATGCTAGTCATTTTATGAGAAAATATCCAAAATCTCCCTCTCTTTCTCTCTCTCTCAATCCAACATATTGATTGATTGATTGATTGGTTGATTGGTTGTCTTTGGATGGTTGGTTGGTTTTTTGCTTATAAATAAAATGTTTCATTGCTTGGGGTTGCCTGCTTTTAAAATTATGAGGAAAAATGTTCTTTCTTAAAGGGGCACATTAAATGTTTATTTTGTGAACTATTAGAAAACCTACCAAAGCATTTTTTGCCATGTTAAAAGAATTTCCCCATCATCTAATTTTAATAATTTTTTAAATGGTTGAATTAAATAAATTTTTAAAAAAAACACCTACTTCTTAGGTTAAAACAAAAAAAGCCTATTCAAACATAAAAATATGCCAACAGAAAATGAAAGAAATCAAGTCTAAAAGAAAGTGCATGATATTAGGAAAAAAGTATAATTAAGCCTTTAATATATCTGATTTTCATGCTTGTCTTATTAGCTGTTAAACTTCTCTGTCTTGTATTCAGCAACTGAGATGTTCCACTTAACGATTCTCATATTAAAGAAGGTAAAAAGCACCCAGAAATCTGAGTCCCTTACTTAGCTTGAAAACCATGAAAGCTACCTTATTGATTTGCTTGACTGCTTGCTTTCCCCACTGAGAGCTGCCATTCTGATACTGTAATTGAGATGTGGGTCCTGTGTGTTCCAGGAGTCAAACAGAATTTAAACCAGAAACCTTCCAGACAGCCAATTAGCAGTCTACCGGTGCTTATGGACTGATATGTGAAAAGAGACTGCATGATGTCAAACAGATTCACTTAAAAATGCTACATCTCTTTCTAGATCTTTTTAGTGAAGCAGCAATATCCCTAGGTACATTTGAAGTGTGTGAGGGTTTTTTTAAAAATTCTCTTTTAATTTCAGGGAGGCAAAATCCCAATACGATGGACTGCCCCGGAAGCTATAGCTTTCAGAAAGTTTACCTCTGCTAGTGATGTCTGGAGCTATGGAATCGTGATGTGGGAGGTTGTGTCTTATGGAGAGAGACCCTATTGGGAGATGACCAACCAAGATGTAAGTATGGAGCTATGCTCACTCACGTTTGAGATGAAATGCTTAGCTCTGTGTGTCAGGAGATGTATAATAGTCTTCATTTCTGAACATGACAGTTGCTTAAAAAAAGAGGAAATACTTTGCTTACCCTCTGATCTACTTTGTTGTTAAAATATCCTTTATGCAGAAGCTCAAAATGAGTTAGCACAAAGGAAAGTAAGTCACTATTATATAAAAGCTCAGTCCCTTGCCAGACAGTTTTAGCTGTATTGTGGTGTTATTCCACTCATTTAATGTCAGTATCATTTTCAAAGATAAAGAAAGAGCCATCAAAGAATGAGTACTGACAGGCAAGATTTTATGATTTGCATTTGATGGAGGCAGCTAATGCTCTAGTGCAAAAGGATGAATGATATTGACTTCATCTTGGATGCTCTTAGAGGATAAAAAAGGAACAATCTACATTTTTTAAATTAAAACATATAGGAAGAGTTGTATTGTCTATATAATTTAGGGGGAAAATAGGATTTCTCCACATGGAAAAAATAATTCATGCTTAGAATTATAGAATCCTAGCATTAAAGGAACCATAAAAAAAAAAGAAAACTTCTATTCAAGTTCAGAATGCTTATTATATGATACCTCACACATAGCCTTTTTAGTCTTGGCTTTTATAATTTTCCATTGTTACCATTCCAGACAGCCCTTACCATTTTGGATCACTTTTAGATTTGATGTATTTTCTGTCTAATAACAATAACAATTATAAAAGCTAACATTTTTTTGAGACCTTACTATGTGCCATATACTGCCTTAAGTGTTTTACCAACTATTATCTTATTACTTGTTTATAAAACCAGTATATTGAAGGCTTACTTCAATAACATGCTTTAAAACATTCTTTTCCTGTAATTATTTCTTTCATCCGTATTCTATAAACTCTCCCTCTCTTATGCCTTCTGAAGTTATTAGCCAGGTCCTATCTTTCAAGCCTAATTTTGTTGAAGCAGCAGTCTTATTCCAGTGATTAAGACCCATTTTCATTTCAAGTCCGATCTAAATGAAAGTCAGTACCATTTTGAAGTGTTTTCCAGCGTGACCCTCAGTACCTAGATTTTAAAGGAAGAATGTTCAGATTTTTGCTCGCCCTCCTCCTCTGCCAAAGTCCTCCTCTGGACTTTTCAGGATCTTCCTAGATAGAGAGATAGAAGGGAAGGGGCAATGATGTTTTTCCAGAGTTGGACTGTTGGTGCCTCCTGCTCGGCAGTAACCCAGACATTGTTCTTTGTTGAGATTCATGTCTGAGCTCTTCCAAAGGCCTTGATGAGTTCTTAGAGAGGATATACTGAGCTCTCTGCAAGGTTCTTAGAGAGGATATACTGAGCTCTCACTTGCACCAGCTCCATACTGCACAGTCTTTCACTGCACCGTACACATGTCTACTAAACCTGATGAATGTTGGATCCTTGACCATTGCTTCCTGTTTTGGAATCTACTGCAGGCTTTCTGAGCCAGTCTGCCTTTAGCAGATTTCCTCAAGGCAAGAAGCTAGGGTCACACTTCAGCTCTCCCAAGGATTACAGTTGACCTTTCAACAATGCAGACCTAAGGGGCCAAACCCCACAGAGTTAAAAATCTACATAGAAATTTGACTGCTCCAAAACATAACAACTCAAAGACTACCGTTGACTGGAATCCTTATCGATAACATAGTCAATTAACACATATTTTGCATGTTATAGGTATTATGTACTATAGCCTTATCGTATCTAATAAAAGAGTAATATGCAAATTGACCATCACTCTAAGACACAAGACAGCTGCCCCATGTGGTCAAAGATGGCTGCATCCATATGGACATAAGATGGCTGCCACAAGATGGCCTGCAGGAGAGGGCAGTTGTGGGCAGTTAGGGGTGTCCAGGATGGCAGAGGAGGACAGTTTGGGGAGACCAGGCCAGCAAGGGAGGGCAGTTGAGGGGGGACACAGGCTGCAGCAGAGGGCACTTGTGGGCAATTAGGCAAGCAGGGAGGGCAGTTGGGGGAGAACAGGTCAGCAGGGGAAGGCAGTTGGGGGGACCATAACTTCAGGGGAGGGCAGTTGGGGGGGGTCAGGCCTGCAGGGGAGGGCAGTTGTGGGTGATCAGGCCAGCAGGGAGGGCAGTTAGGTGTGACGGGCAGCAGAGGAGGGAAGTTGGGGAAGACCTGGTCAGCAGGGGAGGGCATTTGTGGATGATCAAGCCAACAGGGAGGGCAGTTAGAGGTGACTGCACCAACAGGGAAGGGCAGTTGGGGGAGATCAGATCAGCAGGGGAGGGCAGTTGGGGGAGATCAGATCAGCAGGAGAGGGCAGCTGGGGGGAGACTAGACCAGCAGGGGAGGACAGTTGGGGAGAAAAGGCCTGCAGGGGAGGGCAGTTGAGAGGAACCAGGCCTTCAGGGGAAGGCAGTTGGGGGTGATCAGGCCAGCAGAGAGGGCAGTTAGGAGTGACCAGGCTGGCAGAGGAGGGCAGTTGGGGGAGACCATGCTAGCAGGCAGTTGGGGGCCACCAATCCTTCAGGGGAGGGCAGTTGGGGGGCATGCATGCAGAGGAGGGCAGTTACAGGTGACGAGGCCAGCAGGAGGGGGCAGTTGGGGATGACAGGGTCAGCAGGGGAGGGCAGTTATGGGCAATTGTGCGAGCCAGGGAGCAGTTAGGCATCAATCAGGCTGGCAGGGGCATGGTTAGGGGTGATCAGGCTTGCATGCAGAAACAGTTAGGGGCAATCAGGCAGAGGCAGGCAAGAGGTTGGGAGCCATCAGTTTTTGATTGTGAGAGGGATCCCAGATTGGAGAGGGGACAGGCTGGGCTGAGGGACAGCCTACCCACCCCTCCTCCACCATGAATGAATTTCATGCACAGGGCGTCTAGTACTAAAACAAGCTACAAATAATGAAAATGTTATTAAGAAAGTTATAAGGAAGATAATATACAATGACAGTACTTATTGAGGAAAATTTGCATGTAAGTGGACTCATGCAATCCAAGCCCATGTCATTCAAAGGTCAACTGTATTTCATGGCATTTTACTCTGACAGCAATAGTAAACTGGGCTGATGGATTCCTGCCTCTTGATAAGTATACAAGATAACTAAAATTGCTTCTGCAGTTATTGAAAATTGCTACAATCGATTTTTTGTTTTTTGGGGTTTTTTTTGTATGTGTTTTTGTGTGTGTGCTACACTTACTTGATTTAAGGAGGAGCTGCTGACATTTATTTCTCTAAGTTTGAGAGAACACAGTATCTATTGTGCTCAACTTTCTGATATTAAGGGCAGGGCTATGATAAAAGTATCATTGAACTCTTTGTATATTTTTAACGAACTATCAGAAGTATACCTGTGTTAGTCCTGTTTTTCAGTCAAGGAACTAAGACTTAGAGATTAGATGACTTTCTTAAGGTCAAAAATAATAATAAATGTTATACCATAAACTGAACTTGGTTCTCCACATTTTGTGAACCTAACCATCACTCTGTTTCCAATTCAATCAATGTCTACTTCCTCTCTTTCATTTCCAACTAGCGATCTTAGACCACCCTTCAATTGAATATAACATATTCAATCAATGTTTAATAATTATTCTGGATTTATCGAGTCTAAACAAAGATTAAATCTATTTGCTACTTTCTGTTCTCCAGATAAATGCGAAATACTTACTTGAGCCACAAAATACTTCGTTGTTTTGCTTCTATCTTCTTTCCAAGCTTATTTCAATGCAATTATTTTGTTTAAATTTTGTAAAAGTATTTTATTCTGTCTTCTTGCAAGCTCAGTCTTTTCACTCAAGGAAAGCATTTGCCCTTTATTTGTTTATTAGTAATGTCTCACAATTATGATATTTTTAATTCCAGTTGTGTCACTCAGAATTATTTGTACTTCTTTTCTTGTTGCATAACATTTGTAGCATTGTCAACCATATTATTGACAATTATACCTGAGCTAGTTCTAGCTCTCACAAATAAAATTATGGACCAAAGTAAAACAAGATACTACTGTGTTTCCCCGAAAATAAGACATCCTCTGAAAATAAGACCTACTTACAGGTTTCCTTCTGAATGAAATATAAGACATCCCCCCGAAAATAAGGCCCCCCCTAGGCTAAACATGAGAGATTTGGTTCACTGATTCTGAAAGAAATGGAGTCACAAGAAATTTACCAGGAAATTCGGGAATTGGATTGTTATGATGATGTTCCAGAAGATGACGACATGATTGTCATTGAATAAATGAGTAAATTCTTGATACTGTAGGATTCAGTTTGTCTGGTTTGTGTGGACAACTACCGTACTACCGTACAATATACAAGTAATAAATTTCCTTTTTTTTTTCATTTAACAATAAATGTGTACCGCATTCTCCTTCATGGAAAAATAAGACACCCCCTGAAAATAATACCTAGTGCATCTTTGGGAGCAAAAATTAATATAAGACACTGTCTTATTTTCAGGGAAACAGGGTAGGTGAAAGCTTACAAGTTTTTGCTGATTTTAACTGGGCTTGTTCAAGTCCTGTGGAGTTGGCTGGTATATACTTGCACTCCACAGACCTTCATCTTCCACTGAAGACCCACAGGCGAGACTAATTTGTCAAGTGACTGAAGGACAAGAGTGAACCCATTTTCTCCTCAGCCTAACACATATTTGCTAAAATCCCATTGGCCAATCACATTATCAGAGTATGATACATTACACTGTTCACTGTAAATGGACAATATAAAGTTACATGGAGAGGGACATAAAAACAAGGAGGTGTGAAGGCTTTGGGACATTTTTTTCTGGATTTCAGCCATTTGATACTTTTCCAGTTAATTTGATTTCAAATAATTTTAAAAACAAAGCAAAACAAGGAAATGCTGATATAATAGTTTCAGGAAGTTATAAAAATAAAAACTAATATTTTGACTCTGGCTGGGTTTTCTGAGCACCTAAGTAAGGTTTACAGAAAAATGATTTTACAGTTACAGATCTTTCTAAACTGCCT